GAGGAGGAGGAGGAGGAGGAGGAGGAAGGCAGCCCCAACACATCCACCACAGGTGTGAATCTGTGCAAACTGTCTGGCTGCTTGAAATGCTTTTGGGCCCCATCACTGACCAGCAGCACAGTCTTGGGGGTACACACATTTTCTGGCTAAGAGACCCAGGTGCTCAAATTGGGGGTGTCCCCAGGAATAAAGAACCCATCTTGTCCCCAACCAAGGGTAGACCTATACGCCCTCTGGATGGTGTGCTCAGGGGGTAGTCTCAATAAATGTTCCTCTTCATTCAGGCCCCAAATATTCAGCAAGCAGCCTGCTCTAACGTGCCAGGCACACAGCTAGTCACTGGGACAGAGCAGAGAGCAAGATCGACGGGGTGCGTGTCTTGCAGAGCTCACAGTGGGGGCCTCAGACATCATCTTTCCAGCTTGCCACTTTCATGGAGGACTGAGGGTCAGAGACCACACACTAAGCCACCCTGAGGGAAGCTTCCAGATGAAGGCACATGAGAAGGAATTGGAGACCGGGAGGGCTGTGGCTGGGTGCAGAGTGCAGGGCTACCTAGAGCCCCTGCTTGACCTGTCCCCACCTAGTCCTTTGTTAGCAACAGGGGACATGAGAACGCCCTACAGCCCTGGATGGTCTCCCGTTGACTGGCTGATGGGAACGGGATCTCAGCCGTGTCTGCACTGCAAGCACCTTCAGAGAAGGGAGCTGGCTGCATGCCACTGTGGGGGCTGGAGGGCCTGACAAGGACTCCAGGCTGAGGCTGTGCCCAGCCAAAAACCTTCGGGAACCCACTGCTCTGGTCAGACATGGCAGTCACCAACAGATCTGGGACCAGAAGGGGCAGCAGAGGCCAGGCCAGCCGGCTGGGTGTTCTCAAGGCCTGCGACCCCCGGCACTGGGTCGAGGCTGGCCTCTGGCCAGCACATCAGCCCACAGCCTCCAGACACAGCCTCTGATTAAATAATTAAATTGATGGTATCATGGTCAACACCATCCTCCCTGTCTCCGCTCTGGCTACCCGCCCTGATAAACACCCTTGTCCTGTCAGCAGGCTAGCCTGCCTCAGCCCCACCACCAGGGCCAGGAGGGGCCTGGGCGGCAGAGGGTGGGGGGATGTGCGTGACTACACCCAGGTCAGGCCCCCACCGGGCTCCATGGGACCAGCTGCAGGCCATGCTGACCCCACCAGCCTCTTTGCTTTTCTCAGCTTCATCTTCATGATCAGCAGGCAGCGGGACAAAGCTGCTGAGGAGGCCCCGTGACCCTCATGGAAACACTCCCCTGGCTACCTGATCCTGGAGGCCCTCCAAATCACCAAATCTGTCCCAGAAGTGTCTCTGGCAGAAGTCATACCCCCAAATGGCAATTGTGAGCAACGATAACACAAGACTTTTTTGAGAATGAGTTAGAGGAATATGGTCCCATTCAGTCCTACTTCTCTGGTTAAAAAAAAAAAAAATGCTCTGAATCCTTCTTGGGAAGGTATAATCCGACACCCTTGGCTGGGCTTGCTGGCCTAGCCCTTGGTGTAGCCTTTGGGTGTGGCCCTCAATCGGCCCAGATGAGGAGGAAGGTCAGCTGCTGGGCACTTCCCAGCCCCAGAGCCCCCAGCACCATGTGGCTGCCCCTGGCCCTAGGTCCCCACCCCGTGGGAACGTGGGAGGGCAGTATTGGTCTGGGAAGCCCGCAGCACAAGGGGGTCGTGCCGACCTCACGAGGCTGCAAGGCACAAAAGCCTTTTCTTTCCCAGCAGCCTCACACCCCACTCTTTGAAGAACCACCCCCTGGGCTCCCCAGCTCCTGGCCCAGCCACCCCAGCTGCCTCTAGCTGAGTCTCCTCCCAGACAAAGCCGGATTCAGGCCTGCAAGGGCAGTGGCTGGAGGGTTCTGCCATGGAGATGAACTTTGACCCAAACTGCAAGGCTCCTACCCCATATTTACTTTTTAAGGCTAACCCATTTCGCAGAGTTAACATTACACCCCTTTTTAACCCTCACCTCCCTCCCACATTCCAGGCCCTGACCTTTGACCCCTCCTAATTGCCAGCTCTACACCCCAGTTCTCTTGAGGCTTAGCTTGGCTCACCCTCTCCCTCCAGTCACCTCCTCCCCAGAAAACAGAGCCTTGCCAGGACGCTCTGACCACCGGTGCCACCCCAGGCCCACAACTGCACCTAACTGAGGCAGGCACTGGAGCCCCAGAGCCTAGCACTCTGGGGTCTCCACACGGGGGCTCTGGAGTAGACCTCTGGGATCTGACTTCTGACCCCAACTCTCCCGCCCCAAAAAGGGAGCCTCTGTTCCCAGGAAGGCCGGGGGAGGCAGCCTGGCAGCCCTGGAGGGCAGAGGGGGCCAGGGTAGGAGAGTCCAAACAATTCCTCAGCCGGGGCCATATCTCATCCTAGGGGCCTGGGGACACACACATGGATAAGCACACTGCCTGCTCACTCACCAGGTGACAGGCAGGAGCCCTGTCCTATAGCCTCACATCTGTGCTTGAGAAGCCTAGCTCTTGTTTTCACTGCTGGGCAGCTGCACTGTTAGGTCACGCACACCGTGACCCTTCCCAGACCCGAACAGTGATCATTTCAAAACCCCTATCACACCAGCCCATGAGCATCAGGGCAAATTAACTGGCATAACACCTGTCAAGCTGCCAGTCCCTGAGAGCTCCATCCACATATCTTTAGGAGGAATGACTTGGTTTCCCCAAACCCAGGAGCTGGGCCATGGGGCCCACGGAGATGCTGAGGGCAGCTGTAAGCCTGGGCCACCCCCAGAGGCCCGGCCCAGGTTCCACCACCTTGGATTCCTAGGCCCCTGGTGTCTGGCATAGCCTCTTCCCCACTGGCCACCAAGGGACACTCACCATCCTCTTGGCTGTGGAGGTTCTGCGGGCTCCGCATCCTCTCGTCCTGGCTGGGACTCAGGCTGGAGGCCAGGTGTGGGTCAGCTGACATCCATGTGGAGTCGTTCATATCAAAATCTTCACTGCTCACAGAAGTTTCATCCTGATCAGGGACAAAGAAGGTGGGCTTTCAACAGGGAGAGGCTCTTGGCAGCCCCCAGGCAGCCTTGTGAGTGAACCCCAGGGCCCAAGGGCATTTGGAAGTGCCCCAAAGGACACAGAGAGCCCCCAAACCTTGCAGAGGGGGCTAGGTTTCTCCCTTGCCCCCTGTGGAAGTGGCTCCGGCTCTGGTTCCTGTCGGAAGCCGGGGCTGAGGGCCCGGCGCTCTGTAATTGAAGACAATTACGAGGTCTCACATCCTGTAGGGGCGGATGGCAGGGCCTGGCTCTCACCCTTGTGAGCCAAGGTTGAAACAAGCACTGTAAACAAGGGCCACGGCTCCCTGCTCCCTGGCCGGCTCCCGGTTCCCTGCCCACAGCCCGGGGAAGAGGGCTCATTGCTCACAGGGCCAGGAAGCCAGAAGTGGGTGGCAGGACATGCCGAGCACCTCGGAGGCCAAGCCGATCGCCCCATCAGGCCTGCTCCCTGACTCCCGTGGAGCATGCGTGGAATTCCTTTCTCCCACTCCCCCAGCCCAGAGGACATTTCTGCCTTCCTCCTTCCTAACCTTTGCTGTGCTTCAAAGATATGCTCTTGGGCAGCTTCCAGAGCTGAAAAGGCCAGCCCCAGAAGTGTAGAGAAGAAAGGGGGTGGGGCAGGAGAGGGTTCAGAGCAGACCGCAAAGGGGGTTCGGCTCAAGGGCCTGGGGGGGCCACCAGGGCCTTCCAAACAGCCGAAGGGCCTGCTGGAGAGGACCACGCCTGCCTCTTCTCCCCATGCTGGCTTCAGTGAGCCCTTGGCCAGTCATCCGGGAACCCCCGGGGCGGGGCCCCTTCAATCCAGCCCTCTGGGGCGGGAAGGGACCCCACCTCCTTCTGGCCCAGCCTCTTTCAGGAGCAGCAAGCAACTGTTTGGGAGCTGGCTGTAAAACGCAAGAAAGATGACCCAGCAGCTCCCACACCCTGGATCTCTGACTTTGCCCCCTCCTCTGTCCCCTCTAGCAAGGAACAATGGCCTCTGTGGGCCCCCAGTAAGGACCTCTGGCAGAGCACCCCCCACCACCAGAGCCCTCACTCCAGGGCCCCCTCACAGCCGGCTCTTTTATAGTGAGCAAACACACTTTAGTTTGAACTTTCTTCTGCTGCTGTCCCTGAGGCAGACACATCTGCCCTCCGAGTGCTAGGGAACCAGCCGTGGCTCAGCCTCCACTCCCTCCCCCACCACGCAGGGCTGGCAGGGAGTTTCCTGGAATTTACAGCTTCTGTGCAGCACAAGTGTGTACCCTCTGCGGCAGAATCCGGAGGACTCGAGCTGGGCCAGGACACCAGCTCTGCCCAGCTCAGGGGTCCCCACAAGGCACACTCAGAGCCTCAGGGGACGGAGACCACGTGTCTTCGTGCCCTCTCCCCACACATGCACACACTCTGCCTCCCTCCCACAGGCCACCCTGCTCCTTACACACAAGCACACCCACCCACACTCTTCCTTGGGTGGAAACACACTCACTCACATTCACTCAGACTGTGTTCTCACACCCAGAGGGACACACACACATTCAAAAGACTCTCTTTGCACAAAAGGTCCAAAGGGACAACAAATATCTCCCCTGTGCTAACTGCATAGAGCCCGAGAGTGAGAAGGGAGGCTGGCAGGTGGGGGAGAAGGACCCTCGGAGGAACAGAGGCCATCTAGGCTCTGGGAGTCAGGACCAGGGGCATCCCTGCTTAGGCCCCTTGCTCCTTCCTGGCTGCCTGAGGGGCACGGTGGTCAGGGTACAACCCAAAGTCATGGCTGAAGTAGGAAGGCCCTTTCCTGGCCCTTGGGTACTGTTGAAACACTCATGATTGACAAGACTTGAGTTTTCTATTAAGAGGTGGAAGGACCACCTACTGAAGATACTCTATCTGTTCATTCAACAAGTATTTACTGAATACCTACTGTGAGCCAAGCACCTTTCCAGGTGCTGGGAAATTCAGGTGTGGACAAGACAGGGTCCTGGCCCAATGGGGGAGATGGACAATCAGCAGGAAAAATGCATAATGTTGGTGGTAATGAGGGAGACAAAGCAAAACAAAGCCTAATAAGAAGGGAGAGGGACCTGCAGGACTGTTTGCCCAGGTGGCCAAGGAGGGCCTCACTGGTCAGGGAGCATCAGGCAGAGGCCTACAGAAAGTGAGGAAGGTGGCTGTGTGGGGGTCCCCGGGGGGAGCGCTCTAGGCACCAGCACATGCCCGTGGGTTTGAGAAGCCAGGACACTGCTGTGGCTGGTGTGGGTGAGCTGAGGGACGTGGAGCCACACAGGAGTGTCTCCTCCCAAGGTGCACATAACCCTGAGCCTGAGCAGGGATGTCTCCAGCTCAGAGAAAGCTCATGGAGTGTTCCACTAAACACACAGGGTTCTCACTGAGGAGCAGGAAGAAGTCAGAACCGCTGGGTGCGGCACTAAAGACCCACAGTCTAGCCTCACCCGGCCAAGTTGAAAACAATAACAGAAGCCGAAGGTTATCAGACACCAAGTGCTGCCTTGGATCCCTGGGTCATCCCATCTCACCCTTACCACAAGCCCACCAGGCAGCTACAGTTCTCAGCCCCATTCTACAGATGAGGAAACTGAGGCTGCAAGCGATTAAGGCACTCGCCTGAGGTCATGCGCTAACAAGTGGCAGAGCCAGATGTGTACAAGTCTAAGGGCCCAGACACACCCTGCTCACCTTCCCCTCTCATCTGGAATGCCCACACTACTGAGGTGCTCCGTGGCCCAAATTCCAAATACACCCCTCCCCCATCAGCTCCAGCTCAGTCTCCATCGTCCCTCTTATACCATCTGCCTGTCCCACTAACTCTGGCAGTTTTCAGGCACACAGCCCTCAGCTGTAGCATGTTAGCATGTCATCACACTATGAATCTCGGCCCTATCTTTCCCCAGAAAACCTCAGGTCCTTCCAAGAGTGGGGACCAGGCTGTATGTTCCCTGGACCCTCAACAAGGCCATGGCGACTCAGTGAATTGGCTGAATTGTCTGGTATGATACTGGTGTTTAATGAGGATGGGGTATTAGTTTGACAATCAAGGACTCAGTCCCGTTACACACAGTTCTTGAGTGGAGACCATAGGAAACCTGGGCCCTGGGCTGGCAGGCAGGCCAGTGGCAGTGAGCTGCTTTGCTAGGTCTCCTTCCTATAGCTGCCAGCCACCCCATGCTGCACAGTCTAGTGTTTCTTTGGCCCAATGGTCACTTAACCATCCACCAAAATGACCCCACTCCACCCTCCCTGCTCTGACAGGTCCAACTGGGAAGAAGTGGGCTAAATTTTATACTGAGATTGCAATCACCTGACAATGCAAAGCATCCACAGCCCCCACACAAGGGGCTTTGGAGCAAGGGGCTTATGAGATTTCCTTGCAACAGCATCTCCCCCTCCCCCACAAAGCAGACACCCATGTCAGGCCTATCTCCAGATCTGGCACCTGCCCCAGATGCCCAAGGGCACCAAAGCTAGTGGCAGAGCTAGGATCCGAACCCAGGCAGTCTGCCCAGAGCACACATCAGAGTGCCACCACACCAAGGGGCTGCCTCACCACACTTCCTCCCTTCAATCAAAAGAACCAGAGTCCTTAACAACAAAGTGTCTCAAGATGAGACCCCAAGGGAACTCATGGGAGGATGAAGCTATTTATACCCACACATCCACATGCTCACAAGTTCTCTTCAACGAGTTGATACACATTTACTGAGCATATACTATGTGCTGGCACTGTACTAGGGACATAGATGACCAAGGCAGAGGTCCTTTCCTCCAGGACGTTGTTACTTAGGGAAAGAGACCAGAGAAAATCCTGACCTACTTGTAAGCGCGGAGAGAGAAGGGGGCTGTAGAACCCCCTCCCCAGTTATCTACTGATGCTCTCCCTCTCCCCAGAGAGTTTTCCCATGGCCCCCAGGGTTTTGCCACATGAATCCGTGTTTTGTGAGCAATGGTTCTAAGATTTTGCGACTATTGCTACAGTAATTTTTTTTTTTAAGTGGGCCATCAAGTCCATTAAACCTCACTGGAAAAAAACCAAAAAACAATAATTTCTAATCAAACTCAGTTTCCACACCTTCACTTCTAGGGTTGATCTGGGAGGGAAGCCTTCAAGACCCCTTTGCAACACACCTGTTACAGCAGAGCCCCCAGCTGCAGAGGGTAGACTGTAACTGCACCCACTCACACCAAGCCAAGGCTCCAGGAGCAGGCTAATTACACAGGCAATTACCAGCACACACAGTTCAGAGCCCATCAACAACTGTGCAGAGCGGGGAAATACACCCATGTCCGGAGGGACCTGCAGGAGGCAGCCAGTGCAGGTTTGCCAGGGGCAGGGCCTCAGGCCTACGCATCCACCTATGGTGCTCCCCCTATTCGCCCAGCCATCCTAAGTCGTAAGTCAGACACTTCTTGCTTTTCCCTCCTGGAATCTCAAGGGACTTTGGTCTACTAATTTGTCTCTTTCTGTAAACAAACTTAAATGAAACTTTCATAAGAGAATAAAAGTGTGTACAATCATTACTTCTGGGCCCCCTCCCTCCAGACCCCACATGACTAGCCAGCCAGCTGCCCTTGGACGCCGTGAAGCCTGCAGCCCACATGTCGGTCAAGTCCATCATTTACTGGGCGCCAAAGGGCCTGAGCCATTGTGCTTTACAGGTGATACAGCCAACTGCCCTTCTGAAAAGGGAACTCAGGAGTGGGAGGGGGCAGGCGGGCAGCACCCAGCCAGCCCCTGGGACACACCCCAACCTGGGCAGAAGGAGAGGTGCCTAAGCCCTCCCCGCTCTTATCTGCGGTCCAAAATTCATGGGCAGGTTCAGTTTCTCTCCACTTAGGCTCTGAGGCCCTTCCTACTCTGCAGGCAAACTGGCACCAACCACTGCCCAGCCCAGGAGGAGGAGAAAATGGGAGACCAGAGGGGAAACGGTGGAAACACACCTGTATCCATGGTGTGTAACTATGGGCAGGTGCT